AAAGCATATAAACCCCTAGTTGGGTTTCGGTGATTAATGACAATACGTGATTACTATGACTAACGTGTGTTTTGTAGAGGCAATTAAGTTAGGTCATGGTAATGGAGATCGATTAGGCAATCAAGGTGGTCATGCCCCTACGATGGAAATCGTTTCGGTTTTCAAAGAATGGACGACAAGGTTAAGGATGGACTAGTTCTAAGTGTCGTTTGGAGTTGAAGAGACACTTAGAGTAGTTTAGGACATTGTTTTCCTTTGGTCGTACTATTAAGGGGGGGTATGGACGGGTAGCTTGACCTAGGTGAGTCTAGTGGGTTAGGTGTGGTGCACACTTGCTATAACTAGCACTAGGTAGCTCCAAAATAGCCCTTAGATCCAATGGAGCAAACTTCATTCACATATGATCGAGAGTTGGAAGTGAATGGAGGGTCAAATACTGACCGGACGCGGGCTCCGGTGTGACCGGACACTGGCTCAGGGTCCGGTCAGTTCATTTGACCAAAGTGAAATCATCTGGCTCAACCGGACGCTGAGAGGTGAAGTGACTAAACACTGAGGGCCAGCGTTCGGTCGACTCCAGTAAGGTTCCAAAGAGGGAAAATAACGACCGGACGCATCCGGTCACACTTTAAACACTGGAATTCGGGGTGAACTGACCGGTGCGTCCGGTCACCCCACAGAGGCACATAACGGTTCATTTTTCAGCTGGTGTTATAAATAACACCTCCATTCGTGTGTGGGGGTACTTTTGATCATTCCAACGGCTGAGAAACACCTTTGAGAGTGCCAAGAAGAGCAAGGTCCTAGTGAGATGATTGAGATTTGAGAATCCCAAAGAGAGCCCTCATTAGTGAGATCAAGAGTAGCAAAGTATGCATCCATCCTTCTCATTAGGCTTGTCGTGGTCAAGTGAGAGTCCGTGCTTGTTACTCTTGGTGATCGCCATCACCTAGACGGCTTGATGGTGATTAGGAGCTTGGTGATCATCCGAAGAGCTTGTGGATGACCCAACTCAAGTTGTGAGCGGTTGTGGGTGATTCACCGCTACGGAGTGTCAAAGAATCAACCCATAGAGAGCACTTGATCCTTGCGCAGATCAAGGGGGAGCTACACCCTTACGCGGGTGCTCCAACGAGGACTAGTGGGGAGTGGCGACTCTCCAATACCTCGGCAAAACATCGCCACGTTCCTCCTTCTCTTTTTACTTTGAGCATTTACTTTGAGCAATTCAATTCTTATCATTTACATTCTTAGAATTGCCATACTAGAGTAGGATTGGAACATAGGTTGCTAAACTTTTGTGCGTTAGATCAATAGGAACACTTTCTAGGCACAAGGGTTTAATTGGGCTAACCATAGGACTTAATTATTGCAAAGAAATTTAGAATTAGCCCAATTGACCCCCCCCCCTCTTGAGCATCTTGATCCTTTCAATGGCGATCATCATCACAATGTGGGTGGCGATGCGAGCGGGAAGCACGAGCAACGTCGTCCTTGAACTACCGATCAGCTTCTTCGGAATCTGCGTATGAGTTTGCAACCTTGAGGAGTTCGTCGATGGTCTGTGGCCTCTTGCGATAAAGTTTAGAGCGTAGCTCCTGATGGTGATGGAGTCCTCTGGTGAAAGCGGAGATGGCCTCGCTGTCCCTGATGTTGGGGATGGTGTTCCTTGTTTCGGAGAAGCGCCTAATGTAGCTTCACAGAGGCTCCCTAGAGATCTGATGGAGTTTCTCCAGATCATATTTCGTGCTAGGCTGCTGGCACATTGCCATGTAATTCTCAACGAAGACTTTCTTTAGATCATCCCAAGATTTGATGGAATCCTCCCTTAGGCCCATAAGCCAATTGTTGACTGTCTGGGATAGCATGACAGGCAAATAATTTGCCATTACGTCGTTGTTTCCCCCGGCGACACATACAGCGATCTCGTAGAGCTGCATCCACTGCTTAGGATTAGCCTTGCCATCGTAGGGATCAACCCCGAAGATCTTGAAGCCTACGGGCCACTGTACAGTTCGCAGCCTTGCTATGAAGGGGCGGGGTCCCGTCGGCTCGATAGCGGGGAGTGGTCGGAGGCCGATGGGGTCGCCGTGTTGGTCGTCATACTCCTATCGACGTTGGAGTTCTTCCTGATGTCGTTGGGCACAATTGTTCTCAATGCGATTGCGGGCATCGAGATTGGTGTTGATGCGGTCGCGGGCGTCACCGCGCACGGGTTGATTAATCTCCTGGTTGGCGTTACGAGCTAGTCGTTGATTTCATGGTCCTTATGATCCGAGATTGATGGCAACATTGCCCCTAGACCCCCCCCTTGGATGATCTGGCTGCTATGGTAATGACTCCCCCGATCACGGCAAAAACTATGGGGGTTACGACTGCGTGCGGTCGCTGTCGAATAAGACGGAGCTGGGTTCCGGATGTCGTTGACTTGGACCTGAGCTGCTTTAAGCAACGCTTGAATCTTGAGTACCTCCGGCATTGGCGGGAGTCGAGCCAACTCGTGGGTGGCCACAGCCAGATTGGCGCTTGGCGTCTGCTCCACTTGCTGGTTGTCCACCATGAGGAACTCCTGTTGGAGATTATGAGCGAGAGGCGGCGGGTCACCTCCGGCAGCTTGGACGGTGTATTCTTCATTGCGACACCGTTGGCAATCGGCGTTTTTGGTTTCACGGTCACGGCGTTGGACATTGGTCTCTCCATCGATAGCAACGCTATCGTGGCTAACGATGAAGAGCTCTCTCCCAAAGCCTAGAGGGAAAGGTGGGCAGGTGTTGGTAGAGCCCTCGGAGTATGGCTCGGGGCATTCCACCAGGATTGTATGGAGCGTGTCATCCGGAAGATCTGTTTAGATTTACACCATGTTTATCATTGGCGTAGGCTGGTCGGCCTCAAGGAAGTCAATCTGATAGAGGTCATTGACATGGCTGCGCTCGGCGTGGTCGACGAAAAGATGGTGCATGGCGTTTTGATAGATCAGATCTATACCCACTAGCCCAAAAGGATAGGGCCTCAGCATGCTCTCCGTTGGGGCAGGGAGTGGTTGGCGTTGAACGGTACGCCCTTCCGGAGTTGTCATGATCACCAAATCTTCATCTTACCACCTTGAACGGCGTGCACGAGCGAGGCGCTCGACGTTAGTGGCATGGTGACCTTGGAGTGCAGGAGGTTCGTCGCTCGCTCTAGATCGATCTAAGACCAAATCTATGAGGAGCTGACATTCCGTTAAGCGGTCCATGACCCGATCGATAGCTTCGATCAAATTGTTATTGTTGATGGATCTCTTAACCCAGCCGCGAGGTGTTGGGATCGGAGATGTCATTGTAGATGTTGGCACGATCGGCGCAGGGTGATCCTGCACCGCCTCCATGATTTCCCCGCTTCCATCAGGGTCGATGACCCAAGTCATGGCTCGAGAAAGGCCATGGAGTTCGGGAAAATGACCATCTAGTTGGCCATGGAATTAGCACGCACACCTCCTACCTGGCACGCTACTGTCGACGAAATCTGATCGGCAGTCTACCGAGGGGTATATCCACGGTAGTAGATGATCGGTGGAGGTATGCGTAATAGGAACCGGATGGTGACACAAGGCGCTGAGACAGCGATTTAGACAGGTTCGAACCATCTGATCGACATAATACCCTACGTCCTGTGTCTTTGTTGGATTGTATTGAATATGAGATGAATTCGAAGGAGTCCCTGCCCACCTTATATAGTCTGGGGGGCAGGGTTACAAGTCGGTTAGATCTAGTTCTATTCGGTATATGGTAAGTATTTAAAAGGAATACGATATCTATCATATCTGAACAGATCCTTCTCTATCTTCAAGATTCTTTCCTAAAACCGTGTGATGCATCCCGATCAGTGTCTTGCATCACACGCCTTGTTTTTATGGGCTAGACCTCCCCTGATGGTGCGGCCCATATCCATTGCCGTGGGTACCTGGGGTTATACCCCTACACCTCCACGCCCATCCCCATCGTGCTCCATCACCTTACAACATGGAGCAATGTGAGATGCAAACATCAGAAGTATTACTTGTTTATAACATTAGAACAAGTGTACTGCAACATTAGAACAAGCCGACTGCAACAACAGAACAAAGCTACTGCAATGCGAGATGCAAGATCAGAAAAAGAGACAAATGCAACAAAGATATATTATTTGTTGCAACATCAGAATAAGGCTACTGCAACAACAGAACAAAGTGCAATACGAGAAAGCAACATCAGAAAAAAGACTAATACAACAAAAAAATATTACTTGTTGCAACATCAGAACAAGGCTACTACAATGTGAGATGCAACATCAGAAACGTAAAAAGAGACTAATGCAACAAAGAAATATTACTTGTTGCAACAGTAAAACAAGGTTACTGCAACAAAGCTCGCCGAAACCATAGCCACCGCCGCGTCCCTCAGATCTAGATCTAGAGGAGGAGAGGGAGGCTCAGATCCAGAGGAAGAGGTGGAGAAGGAGGAGGACTCAGATCCAAACCTCCCTCGTCGGAGTCGGCGCCGCCGCCCTCGTCTCCAGTGAAGGTCACATGGAGATCACGGAGGGAGAAAACAGTGGCGGCAGCGCCTTGCGCGGGCGCGGCATCCGTCCCGGCGGCGGCCCGGAGAACGGCGCACGCCAAGGAAGCCATGGAGGGAGGGAGGGAGCGGCGACAGCGATCTACGCGGGGCGCGGCAGCAAGTGGGTGGGACAGATACTGCACAGTATCAATCCGAATACTCAAATCATATATTTATGATGTCGATATCGAATTATATCATATCCTCTAGCGCATAGTTGACACTGTGCGAATCGAAATACGACGGAAATAAAACGAATTATATCATATCGTGCATAGTTGACACTATGCAAATCGGAATGCGACGGAAATAAAAAAAAAACAAATGTGATTAGAGTGATATCCGTATCCCAATCCGTTTTCATCTCCAGGCCGCGCGTCTGAAACCGGAAGCTCACAGCGCCTCGCCGCCGGGGCGTCACACATGGCCTACCGCCGGAAGCCTCAGCCCCGGCCTCAGCCGACGCCCTCGTTCGAGCACCACTACCCGCCGTTCGTGGGCCCCGCCTCACCCGACTCCCTCGCCGCGCAGGCCATGCGCGCCTCCGCCGCGCACCGCGATGCCTCCTCCCTTGCCTCCGCCTACTCCTCCTCAGCCTCGCTGGCGGCCTCTCTCCGGAGCCACCACGATCCCTCCGTGTCCACACCGTCCCCGGTATGTCTCGCAGTGCCTCTCTCTCGCTTATTCCCTCTCTGCGGTTTCGCTTCTAGATGCATCGGGGTCGGATCTGGTCCGGTCAGCGACCACCGCAACGAAGGGGATCCTCGTAATTCTTGGTTGGTAGTTCGGTCAGGCGAGGGATCATTTCGTGTGTAGGCGTAGTAACCATTATGATTATCGATTTCTGCTGAACTGTGTTGCTCAATTTCCCCAGTTCGTGCTCGCTCTCTCAAGAACTGATGATATTGGTCCTGGTGTATAGGATTGTTCAGGCTATGAATACACGTCCATGAAGAGCCTGAACGAGGCCAAGTATGGATTCTGGGGCACACTTGCGCGGAAGGCAAAGTCGTTTCTTGACGAGGACTGCTCCCCGGAGCAGTACAAATCGCCAAGAGACGATGTGCAAGATGATGTCCAGGTGAGATCTGCAACCCCCTGCCATTATCTTCTTCCTTAGGCCTCGTTCGGTTACCACAGTTCCTGGCCAGAATCATTCCTGAGCTGCGGTTTCTTCAATATTTTGAATAGCACCGGAACCATTCTTGGCCAGGAATGGCCGGGAACAGCGTAACCGAACGGCGCCTTAATTGAACTCTTGGGGTGCTAAATTTGAGTTAATTAAACTCCTTGTCTGTAATTGAAACCACTTAATATCTGTACTGATAGATAGAAAAGTACATTCCGAGCTTTCATTTTCTGCTTGAAGCTTGAGACTGGCATGACTCATCATCTTTGTTTTTGTCCTATCACTATGGTGAATAACTGTCATCTTGTAGATACAATTATTGCCCACTCTGTAAATCTTTGCCTCTGACTCACTGGAACTGCCATCAATATTATGCTTAGTTCAATTTGAAATGTTTTCATGTGGAACACTGATATTTTTCATGACACTGCAGCTTCCACATTCAAAACAATTGCCAGGAGAGACGTGGAAACCTCAGACACCTCCATCTCAGAAGAGATCTGAGTCTATAACCTCCTCCCTTACCTTTATTGGAGGCACAATAAAAAATGCACTTGAAGTAAGTTGCTGATAAGTTCTTTTCTTTTTACTTAAAGGACTGGATCTTTTAGTATCAGTCCTATGTTTCACTTTCAATGTTGTTCTGTGCTGAATTGGTAAATGTTGTGCATCCAGTATAAATATGTGTGAACAGAAATTCCTTTGCTCCTGCTTTAAGCTAGAAAACAGTTGAAGCATTCACCATGTTGATCCATATTCTACTACAGCAAGTGGCACCGAACATTTTTTTGTTAACGCATGCTATCTTCATTGAGAGTTGGAAAAAAGATATATGTATCTTTACAATGTTGTGCTATTTTTGACTTCTTGATGATATACAATTGATATTTCCTTTGGTTATATCAGATCTCTTTGTTTTTTTTATTGGGTACAACTTGGACGCACACAACCACACACTCCACACTCACGCCACAACTCATGACATACATGGTATTTTTGTCAGGAAGGTCGGACCATTGTAGAGAATAAAACGGCCGACATTATTCAGGAGACGCGTAAACTGAACATAAGAAGAAAAGGAGCTGGTCCAAATACACAAGGAGAAGCTGGCCACAAAATTCTGCAAAGACACCTTCCTCAAAATCCACTAGACCATGAAACTCAGTTGAAGGCATCTCGCGACGTAAGGTGGCAAACATGTGTCACTAGATATGTTGCTTCAGTGCTCCATTTTGCATGTTTGAATCCACAGTATGAAACAATGTCAAATTTATTTTGATTGGCTGGGATAAGGAACACCTCTTTTTGTTTTTCTTTCCTCAATAATAGTGACACTTTGGCTATCTTTTTGCCATCTTGTAAGGTATGATTGAACTAATGTCTCCATATATCTCATACAGGTTGCAAATGCCATGGCTGCAAAAGCAAAGTTGCTATTGCGGGAGCTGAAAACTGTGAAGGCAGATTTAGCTTTTGCAAAGGAACGCTGTGCTCAGCTTGAAGAAGAGAATAAAATGTTGCGTGAGTGTTATGACAAGGGTGACAATCCAGAAGATGATGATCTGGTAAGTATATTTTTTTCTTTGAAAAAACTAGGTACTAAAAATATCCTTCATAGTATTGATGGTGAATTTATCTCCATAAATTTCTTTTGGCTACTATATCCACATTCAGGTTCTATTGGAGTAGCCTACCTATTTTTTGACAATGTTGTCTAGTTTTATTTAGTGTATATTCATTGGACGTTACATTAAAACTGACTGTGAATTACTGAATGCCTTGAGTAGACAAGTTAGCATTAGTTACATGTTCAGCTTATTCTTTATCTTGTAAGGTGCTGGTGGAATTCTCTGGCTATTTCTCAAGAGTTCCTAGCCAGAGAGGGAGGGTTTTCTCTTTAACTCAACATGGCTGGGAAGTTAAGAAAGTCTTTAACTATTAGTTGACTCATACTTTGCTACAGTTTAAAACTTGTTTTACTCTAAACTGTTGAAGCACAGTTGCAGTACACAGTCAGCAGCCCTGTGCAAGTGGGGCATCCCCTTAGCTCTGTTACAACCCCTTTCAGAGCTCCTGCTGGGCCCGTCTTTCCTCCAATTATGTGCTACAGATATGTTATGGCCTTCAGCTTTGCCACCTGCCTAATTTTGCATGTGGCTTGCATTTTGTTGAGCCAGATTTTAAACAAATATTTTTTATTGAATTATACAACCAGATCAATCCTTTCAAGTAGTAATGGTTTGTTTTTTACAAATACTTACAAATCTTTATCTATATCTGTACCAAAATCTTTATCTATCTATACGCCAAAATTTCAAACTAGGTAACAGGAGCTTGCTTGAGGCCGTGAAGTGAGTGATGCTATGAACCATGCCATCAGGAACAGAGTATTCTAGAGATGTAGAGATGGTTGCATGTAAACCTTCCTACAAAGCTCTCCATTCACAAAAAATTCTTAATGTCAAGCGGAGTGATGGACCACTGGTGAACAGAAGAAACAAGAAGAAGAATGCAAATAGTGGCCATATGAGTAACTGGAGCAAAGGTCTCATAGTGCTGGAAACCATGCGCGGCGAGGTGCTTTGTAGCACTCAAGAGAGCCATTAGAGTGATTTTTGATCTTGTATAGTACCACTTGTAGGTGATAGGAGTGACTTGAGGTGGTAGGGAACCAAATCCCAAGTGCCAGTGCGCTCCATTGAATCTCCTTTAGACATATCATGTAACAATCTCCTTTAGCCATAGCATGCTTCCATTCCTGGTGAATAGCAGCTTCTTGATAGGACGTGGGCTCAACTAGAGTAGTAGCGGTGAAGCCATAATGAGAGGTAGGACAAATAGTGTGACAATCTTGGAGATTGTACCGAGAAGACTTAGGAGTAGGCCCAAAGAGGGATGGAGAGGAGTTTGGTGATGGAATAGGATGGGGATGAGAGTAGTTGAGAGTGATCTTACGAGGTGAAACAACCAAGAGGTGGGGGAGCAACTGGAGGAAGAGGATCAACCGTAGGTGTGGTAGAGTAGGAGGTAGAGATGTGGAGAACGAAGAAGATAAGTGGAAGGGAGAGGATGACTGCGGAAAAGACCAATGGGGCAGAATAAGGAAGGAAAGGGACCTGGCTGTGCTAGACAAACTGGTGGAAGAATGTGGATAGTATGAGCGGGATTCATCAAAGGTTCCATCCCAAAAAATCTTCATCTAATGGGCAACAGGGTCATAGCAGCATAGCCCTCATGTTCCATACTGTACGCAAGAGAACATACACTCAACCAACTAAGCAGTTAGCTTGGTGTGCTCACATACACTCATGACTCAACTGACTAAGCAGTTAGCTTGGTGTGCTTACGAGGTGGAAGAACATAGTAGACACAACCAAAACAACAAAGACGGCTATTGGAAGGAGAGGTGCCAAAAACACTCGTAGGGAGTAGAACCATGAAGAACCGAAGATGGCGAGTGAGCATGAGCACTAGGGAAGGAGAACTGAGCAAGAGTACCCTGGTCAGCAAGATAGTGCCTATGTGTATTAGAAATATATTCACCAGCAAAATCAACATGAATGGGAGACTTAAACTGATTGTAGATCATAGTGGCAAATTGCTAGTAAATGGAAAGAAACTAACCACAAGAAATTAGATAAATCCCAGTAAAGCGTGAATAATCACAATGAAGATAGCATAATTGCTCTATTTGTTACAACTTATAAGTTGTTTATGGTCAAAATAAAATGAGATTAAAAGCTAAACGACATGCTTTTTTTGGCCATGATTCTCTCCAGAGCATACATTTGTTCTAAAACGCCAACTTATTTTGACCGCACTTTTGCTTTGTTTGTATAGCTTATCAGGGAAGTGCCTTTTTTTATCTCTCTACCAAACAAGGCCATTATGAGTCACCCCCTTTCAAAACGAAGTAAGCATGCCCCCATACATCAGAGTGAATAAGATCAAAAGGATGCTATGACATAGATTGACTGGAAGGTTAAAGTTTTGCAGCTGTTTGCCAAGCTTGCAGCCCGTACAATGGAGAGCATTATCACCACAACTACCAACTAAAGTGCAAAAGTAGTGGTAGATGAAGCAACTGATATGGAGGCAGGAGGACTGGATGACTTGCCAGTCAAGGAAGGCAAAGGAAGACAACCAGTCAAGCTCCCAAAGAAGCTGAGTCGGAACACCTAGGTCCAGTCCCCACTAGAAGACTTCTATGGATATCGTGAACACAACGAGACAAGAATCATCCTCAAGAACGATACGATAGCTGTGGCGAGTGGTTTGACTAGCAGATATCAATATCAATTGCATAGTGAGCTTAGGAACATGCGAAATAGTAGGAACATGAAAAGAAGAGGTAGGAAGAGTAACACATCAACAATCAAAGACGTGTCATCAATGTTCTGAATGAGAGGTGGATTGGTTGAAGACACAAAGGACAAATGAGTGGAATCAGGGGTCATGAAAAGAAGCACCAGAATCAAGGAAGCACTTAGATGATATACCTGGGTGAGGAGGTAGAGGAGAACCAGAAGCTTGGCTCCTATGTGCTGAGGTAGTAAGGTGACGAAACAAGGCAAGACCTCTTGCTCAGCAACAAACACCAATCCGCCAAGTTTGTCACAATAGACCCCCTACCCCCCGCCCACCGGTGTGGTCGCCAGAACCAAAGTTTGCTGAGCCTCGCTCACACTTCCTGACTGAAGATGTCTCCTCGGATCGCAGCTTAGGCATTGTCTCAAGCGAATGGCACAGATGACGACTCAGCAACTCCTTTCTAACAGGCTCAAACTCAGGACGAAGTCGAGAGAGGAACTCATGAAGACCAAGACCAAAATTCCTAAACAATTTCATAGCACTACCAGCGATCCAAACAAGAGGCGAAATCCTGTTGGTGGTCTCGCAAGACCACTTTACCCTTTTAGAAACGCACATAACAACCAATGCAATCACCGCTAAAATCACCCCGAGAGCTGATGCCACATATTGGTGCATCATTGTAGTGTACGGACCACAAATTGAGAATGACAAGCTCCTATTCCCACAAGAAAAAGGGATTTAGCAGCGTAGAACAGAGACCGTTGGCTGGTCCTTGGCGACTTCAATCTGATTTATCAAGCGGCAGGCAAAAATAATTCAAAGCTGAACAAGTGACTGATGGGCTCATTCAAAGTGGTGTTAGATGACCTATGGCTCAAAGGCAAAAATAATTCAAACCTCAACAAGACTGATGGGCTCATTCAAAGTGGTGTTAGATGACCTACGGCTCACAGAAATTTGCCTGAATGGACAACAATTCACATGGTCAAATGGGCAAGATAGCCCAACCATGACAAGGATCTACACACCTGATTAAGAGATTTTTTTATTTCCCACTCCACTCCTTGCCTTCCCTAATGTCTGACAACACACCCATAATTCCTGCAAGGAGAGATGCAAAGAGAACCAGCAAACATCTTTCGGTCATCGCTTTGACACAACCCTAAAACGCCTTCACATTAAATTGGCTCGCATGATAAAGGCCATCAAGCGGTGGAAGAAGAAAAAATTGGGGACACGACACTAAAACTTGCAATCGTAAAAGAAGTATTACTTCGTGTGGAGACTGCACAGGAGGATACGTCTCTCACCCAGGAAGAAGTAAGCTTACTCAAGTGCCTCAAAGCACGCTTCCTAGGCCTGGCACTCATTGAAAAATTAAGAATCAGATGACGACCAACATCTGACTCGGTGATACCAACACCATATTTTTCTAGCTTTGGGCCACCGCGACATTGAGGAAGTACAATCTGAACACGGTATGATATTTGCACAGGAAGAGAAAGTAGTCTCAGAACATTTTAAGAAACAACTTGGGAGCAACACTACCCGAATTTCCACCTTTAACTGGACATCCCTGGGATAACCACCAACAAGACCTCTCCATCCTCGAAGCCCCCTTTTCCCAGGATGAGATAAAGGAAACAATTGACTCAATGCCGGGAGACAAAGCAACTGGCCCTGACGGGTTTCACTGGTGCCTTCTTCAAACATTGCTGGGAAACCATCAAATTTGACCTCATGGCTGCTTTTAACCAGCTCTACGACATGAACAATCAAAACTTTGATTTGCTGAATTCGGCCAACATCATCCTCAATCCCAAGAAGCTGTATGTTGTGAGGGTAGGTGACTACAGACCAATCAGTGTGATCCACAGCATAGCCAAGATCTTCTCCAAACTCCTAGCAAACAAACTGGCCTCACTGCTCGAGGGAATAGTATCCAAGTGTGAAAGCGCCTTCATCAAGCGTCACTGCATCCAAGATAACTTCCTATATGTGCAAAATACGGTTAGAAATCTCCAAAAGAGGAAGATACTGGCCCTTTTCCTCAAACTCGACATCCAAAAGTCTTGACACTTGAAATTGGTGTTACCTCCTTGAGGCCCTGCAGGCCCTTGGCTTTGGCCAATGGTGGAGGGCCTCTTCGGGACGTCATCGTTGAGGGTTACAGTAAATGGCCATCAGGGTGAGGCTTTCAACCAAAGGGTGGGGGTGCGACAGGGAGACCCAGTCTTGCCAATGCTCTTCATACTTGCAATAGATCCGCTCCAGAGAATCCTAGATGCAGCAACACAACAAGGCTTTCTAACACCGCTCCCCTTGGTCTCAATGAGACTCAACGTCCCTCTACGTTGATGACGTTGCCAATTTTGACAAGAGCTCGGTACATCCGATTCGATGCGAGGGCCTCCGACTCAACACATTCTAGAACCGTTCCAGGGAGCTCAAATGGATTTCCCATGTCGCTACAGTTGCACATCCGCGCTCTTCAAAAAGTTAGCCAACGTATGCCCGGGTGGAAAGTGGGGCTCCTAAACCGAGCAGGGCGACACACTCTTGTCTACTTTGGTCCTGTCTTTCATTCCAACTTACCATTTGACCATCTTGTCGTTGGCCGTCTGGGCTAGAAAAAAGATCGATAAGATTCATTGCTCCTTCCTTTTGGACCGTTGACGACAAAGCCAATGGAGGCCACTATCTAGTAAATTGGCCAACGGTCTGCATGCCGAAGGACATGGGAGTTCTTGGGGTGATAGATCTTGACAAATTTAGCAGAGCCCTGCGGCTACGCTAGATTTGGCAAGAGTGGATGGTGGATGATAAACCTTGGGTCGGCACTGAGGTCCCCTGTAATAACGTGGATCGCCTCCTTTTCAACCCCTCCACCACTATACTCCTCGGAAACGGGAGCAAGGCAAAAAAATTTGGCACCATAGCTGGCTCGATGGAGAGGCCCCAAGGAACCTTGCCCCCCATCTCTTCCAACTTGTCAGAAGGAAAACAGAATGATACATCAGGAAATTACAAACGACACCTGGATCAGAGCATTGAGGAGAAAGATCACTACAGCAACGCAAGTTGAAGAGTTCATCTCCCTATTGATTCGCTTACAGAACATTCTTCTACAACCAGCGGTCGAGGATAAAGTCACCTGGAAATGGTCAGCTGATGGACGCTACACTACTAAGTAAACACACGGTATATACATCTAATACTAGTTTGTTAGGTTAACAAGTAGGCCTGGCTTGTTAAGCTCACTGGAAATTTTGGTGGTGCATAGCATTGGTTTTGTGAAGCATTATTGCACATGATAGTGAGGTTCTCCGAAATTGTTTTTTGAATGTGATAATTTTAAGAGTAGTTCTTTTGTGAAGTTTACTTACTCCATATTATGTCTAGCTGAATTAACAAGTGCTGAGTGTCTGGGTGTACTTGCTACTGGTTTGGTCACTTATCATTCATTTCTTTTGCAGATCCGCCTCCAGTTGGAAACACTACTAGCTGAGAAGGCACGGCTTGCACATGAGAACTCAGTATATGCACGAGAAAACAGATTCCTGCGAGAAATTGTTGAGTATCACCAGCTCACAATGCAGGATGTCATATATGTAGACGAAGGCATCGAAGAGGTCACCGAGGTGTACCCTACACAAGTACTACCTCGCACTGTGAGTCTCGCAGCCACTCCAGCTACAACAAAATCTGCTCCGACGACGTCAACATCCGTCGTTGTACCAGAATCTTGCCCTGTCGTACAAGCTTCTCCAAATATGCTTTCGCGGTCATCTCTTAGCAATAGGGCAAAGCCCCCGCCTCCAACCTTCACAGAAGAGTAAGGTGGCTGCCTGGTTGTGACGGGAACACATATTTTTATACTGCCACTGTTCAATGTAACCAAGGATCGGTTGCCATGCCTGTGTTGTCGCGACTGAGCCTTGGCCAAATGCCAAGGAATGTGTTCATGCTTCGGATGCTTGCACTTTCTGTGTAACTTGTACGAGTTACTTTTTTTTTTTTTGAGGGGAAGTACGAGTTACTGTTACTGTTACTGTTTGGCCTCTTCAGTACTATACGGTTGTGTCAGTGCCAAATGTTACTTGCCTTGCTGCCCCCAGTTAGGATAACGGATTTGCATGAAAAATAGTCTTGTGTACAAGTACATGCTTTGCTCTTTCTTCAGAAAGTCTACTCATCATGTGTCCTCGAAGAACTTTGTAAAGAATTAAACAGGCATCTTAGGTGAACAATGAGATGAAAGATTTAGCCTAAAAAAATCCCAACGGATTTGAATAGAACGACTCTCTTGACTGCTCGTCATCTAATTCTTGTTTGAAGATCATCCAGTGTCAAAAGTATTTTTCATGCCAATGAGTTTCATTTTAGAATTCTTTTGCGATGCAAATGAGCGGGGAGAGGTGAAGACCTTAATCGTGACAAACAGTTATAGGACTTGATTGTTGTCAACTACTACTTTTGTGTTAAAAAGAATGGAAGTCGAACGATTCCAAGTTTGACCAGTTAATATCACATTTGTATTTTTAAATAGGCTTACTATGAAAATATGTTTTATGATTAATTCAGTGATACTTATTATATATCATAAATATTAGTATTTTTTATAAATAATTAGTCAAACTTAGGATTGATTGATTTTTCAGAGAGTGAGATTTATATTGTTTTTGGGATGGAAGGTGTAGGGATCCGCCACGTTAATTTACCTAAATCGAGTGTGATCCACTTAACCAACTTAATTTAAGCAAACTAACTTGGTAATCCTCGAGAGATGCCATCCACATCTCCACTACATCAGGATCACGGTTGAGTATTATACCACAATAGCCGCCACATATCAAGATTATATCTCAACAACAGAGTACATAAATCAGCGAAAAACATATACAAGTCTTGTTGAATTAAAAATTTGATTGTACAACATAAGTGAAGACAATGAAACTGAGTGTAGTGAGTACCAGACGACTACTATCGTGGGGTAGTTGCCGCGGCAAGTATCGTTGTTCATCGGGTGTCACTGAGTGTGGGTCTCCGGTGGCTCGGGTGGACTCAAGAACACAAGAGAAGACACGGCAATGTATCCTAATTCAAGTTGTCGGAGCCCTATGTCCAGCAATGGTTGTTCTTTGTATTCGAGAACACCCAAATTGGGGGGTTACAACGAAAGAGAAAGAGATTAGGCAAGGGATCGCTCAATGCTATCATAAGGCTCATCGGCGGCGAGGTTTCTTCCCCGGTCAGAAAAAAGAACGCTCCTCTCTCTTGCCGGGTTGCCGAGGGGAAGAACGCTCGGTCGTTCCTCTTGGCTTGCTTTGCTCTGAGCGGAGCTTGGAATGCTCTGGTCTGTTTGGCGAGTTCGACCTCTTCTCTCTCTAGGAGCCGACCTCCCTCTTATATTCTGAGGAAGGTCGGGTACAAGGTGGTTCAGGGTTTTAGTCTATGATCTACGTGCGCTGGAGTCCAAGAGGGCGCTGTCGCGGCGTGGATGAACCCTGGCGTTGTCGTGGAGCCGGGGAGCCTCAGAAGCCGTCTGGCTCTTCTGGCCCTAACGTTCTGACCGTCAGGGGCTGTCTGCTTGGACCGGCCTCCACTGAGTGAGCCTTCTCAAGGCTTCCTTGGCAGTGAAGGCGCCTGGCTCGGGAGGTTGATGAGCGGGCCTGGGAGCGCCCGCACCCCTGGAGCCGGTGGAGGGATTTGTCCTCTTGTATCATGCCGCCTACATGTCTCTATCGGAGGAGTGGCCGATAGCGCCGCGCGCCCATTGGTCGGGGCGATGCTGGGGAGCCCCCGAGCCTTGGACGCTCGGTGGGCTGGTCAACGCTCGGGGCAAAGGATCCATGCCCAGTGAAAGGTCCTAAATGGCTAGAGGCGGTGAATAGCCTATAAAATTTTCTACAAATACACTAGAGCAAGTGGTTAGTACACTAAATGGCAAAATAGTGTTTGCTCTAGCTCTAATCAAAAGGCAAGCCACCTACCAACAATTCTAGTTATCTATGATCACTAAGTAATCAAGGGCTAAGTCTATACTCGCTACACTAGTTGAGCTAGCAAGAAACTAAACAACTAACTAACAAGCTAGGCAACTAGCTAACCAAGAGAGCTACTTCAGCAACTACAACTACCACTACACAAGTAAGTAAGAATGTAAATACAAGAGAGTGATAGAGGTGTTATACCGAGCTCGGCAAGCAAAAAATCAATCACAATGAATACCAATAGACACAATGATTTTTCACCGAGGTTCACTTGCTTGCCGGCAAGCTGGTCTCCGTTGTGGCGATTCACTCACTTGGAGGTTCATGCGCTAATAGGCATCACACGTCTATATATTCGAGGTGGCCTTCATTCAAAGAATTTGTGCACAACAACTCCCGACGGATATATATTCGGCTTCGGTGGTTGAAAGTGCAGCATTATTTTGCATCTTTGATGACTAAGACACAAGTGACCTTCCCAACAATTGACATGTGCCCGATGTGCTCTTTCTCTCTGCTTTGCATCTCGCATAATCGGAGTCCGAATATCCAACTAATTCAAACTTTGCTCCTTTGGGATACCACAAACCAATATTTTGTGTATGCTTTAAGTACTTCAATATTCTCTTTGTAGCCTCCAAATGACTTTCTCTTGGAGAGGCTTGAAATCTTGCACACATGCAGTTGGCTGGCGGATGGTCCGCATGATCTGGCGAATAATCCGCTAGTCCTTAGACTTGTCTTGATCTTCGGTTAATGGCTAGGATTTTGCTGCATTGGGTTCCAACCTGATCTCCTTAGATGTAAACATCATCCATGCCCCTAGGAAGGGTTAACGACATTGATATTTGAATCTCGTGTCTTATTTCCTGATCAAAGCGCCAGGGGTCTCAACAGGAGCTATTTCTAGATCAAAGCGCCAGGGTTCTCCACAGGAGAGCAACTAACCATCTTTCAGTACTTAATCCAAAAAGTTTTCAGTTGGAACGATCGATCGTGGGTCGTTACACCATCTAACCATCGGTGATCAAATGGACACAAAACCTGCATACCCATGCTCTACATCACCTGGAGATCCACCACGCAAAAGATGGGGGCCCCAGCCCTCGGTGGGGGGGGGTCAGCCGACCCTCCCTGCCACGTCGGCCAATGCCCAACTGAGGCGGTTTGCCCAAACTACCTTGGACATGTTCTTACCGCCTCTAGGAGTGCATCCCAACCATGCATGGGCTATGTTGGTGGAATCAGACGGTCGCCCAATGCCCTTAGGTCGGCCAACCCCTCCTCGGCTCCAAGCCGCCTCATCTTCGACTACAAGGACCCCCTCACTACACTCAAGCTATAAATAGGAGGGTTCAGCTCATTCTCAACACACACCACAGGAGAACCTCTCTCTACCCTCTCAAGATGTAGCTTTAGTGTTAGTGATACTGCTAGTGGAAGTTAGAGTGAGTGGAGCAATGCTTCTTAGGGATGGTGGAGTGGAACTAGCCTTGGTCTTTGGCAAGGTGAGCTAGCTCTTGTATCTTCTTTCTTGTAAGACTTTATCTATGCAATCTATTAGTATCAAATGGACCAAAACAGAGCTCTGAGGTGCTTGGTGTGTGCTCATTAATCTTGTTATGCTTTAGGGCCTGTTCGGCTGGTATTAAAGCTGGCTGATAAGCCGGCTGAAGCTGTTTTGTTGTGAGAGAAAAATACTGTAGATTATAGCTGATAAGCCAGCTGATAAGTTCAAGCGAACAGGCAATTAAGTTACTTTGCTAAGCTATATCTAAGAAAGAACCTTTGTGATAAAGAAAAACTTGGGAAACTCCCTCACTCGTTGTCCTCCCATTTAGCTATGGGTTCACTTTACCTTTATATGAGTAGAACTTGTGTGTCACCATATCTTATCGTATATCACTTACCCTCACTTTAATCTAGTCGGTATATTAGTTAGTAGATATGTAATAGTTAACTCACTTTCTTTAACCATTGCTTGCCTATGGATAAATACACCCTAGCATATTCGATGAATGCTACAATGATATTACGTGTGTTTACGGAATATTGTACGTGAATATAAGAAATACCAACGATCACCGGTCAGGCCTCACCGCCTCAGGTGACATGGGCCAGCGTCAACATCTCCGAGAGGTCACCTTAGCTTCTGCCACGCCTGGCGCAGAATTCTAGTCTACGGGATGAGGATCCGAGCATGGTGCTAGCAGAGCGATAGTCCGCCAAGTATCTAGTGCTCCGCTGCCCAGCAGCCTGTAGCCCTGTATGCCCTTTTCAGTTATTGCTTGTATTGGCAAGGAGTGCATGCATCCATGCGCTACGGCCCATGGGTGTGTACGTGTACGTGTACGCAATATGCTTATGCTGCTATGCATACAGGGTGCATGTGTACACGATCTGAGCATGCATGCCTCCGCCGGAGCAGATGATGTCTAGTGCCTCGACATGCTGTGCAAGGATGATGGCGCTGCGTATGGCTCCTCGATCGTGCCCTTGACGCGGTGCCGGATGTATTCGTCGCCTGCAACGGATGCCTTGAACTTGAACCACGAGATGCCGATGCGTTGCCGATGTGGTGCCCACTTAGGTCCCTCCGTCACAAAAAAAAAACTTCACTGGGGCAGGCAGTGGCTGGCTCCGCACCAGCGTCCGCTCGGCCGCCGGCAAGAATGAGAAGGCCAAGTCCCCTTCCCACTCCCCGTCGCACCCCAGGCAGACTTGCCCAACATGGCCCCACGAAGCGCCAGTAGGTGACATCGCGGACAAGATCGACTCGAAGAAGAATGGGGCGTGGCCGTGAGCTTCGCAGTCGCAGCCTCGGTGGCCGCTGTCGCGGTGTCGCCCCGGCCTTAGCGTTGCTCCTTTGAGCAAGTGGCCAAGTGCCCCCAGCTCGTTCGCACCCGCACCGGGCAGACGGCGGCATTCCTACCGTATGGGCTACTGGCTGGGTCGAGGTGCACAGTGATTGGGAAAGCGCAGCCCAAGTACGCCGATTTGCAAGAGCAGAGCGGCGTGGGCAACTAAGGTCTGAGGTGGGTAGCGGGTTCACACCCGATTGGACAAGTAATGAGACCCTAACCGTGTTTAAGTATCTAGATGAGCATTTTCAAAGTTTTGGGAACAGGATGATACAATGGTACAAGTTACGGACCGTAAGTGGACTTCACTCTATCTAGATTGTATAGCAAAACTACGTAAAAAAAATATCAAAGCAACCTATAATTTAAGACAAAGGGTGATAATTTTGCTGCCATTAGCAACGCACCATCATAGATAAATTTCATACCACCCGTAGCTTAAGCCTACACATCATACTATGACAGCACTATTCACAAGACGTTTTTCTCTGCTAGCAAAAATGAATGTGAAGGCCTCCAACTCTGGATCTGTCGGAACTGTAGCATGGAGCCAAGCCTGAAAGAGCTGGCCAAACAGGTCCCTACTATACATAACAAGCAGTGTAGAAGTAGATGATTTAGCAGATCTGTAAACAAGTCGCGTTTGTCAGCATTTACTATGTTGCGACGGGTGAAAATTTCTATTATGGTTTTCAACAATTTCCATGTAACAATGCTTTACATTCCTTTACCACTTTCCATCCTGACAGGTAATTCTTGCTGCCTGTGCCAGTCAATGCCACAGGCGGCATTTTGGAATTTCACTTACACCCAGGTAAGCCCACATGTGCAAAAATTACCAGAGTTTTACATGAGGCCTACAGTTGTCAGTCTCAACAGACCTCAACGTTCAAATCGCTTGTCCAGCAGAATTCTATTGGCTCTGAAAGCAGTTTGCTGGAAACATTTTGCCTCTGTTGCAACTAAAAAGCACTGTAAACTATTTGCTTAAAGATAGACAAACATAACGACTTGCACTGTCATGTGACTGTCCTGAACGCTTCTCATATTGATCTCAACATTGAGGAAGATGATTTCACATGATAACGTAAAAGGACCTCCACTCGAGTTCTCCTTACGTAGCTTGTCCATTGTTATGTTAGGATTTTACCGCTTGCAGTCAGAACAACTGGAAGAATAGACTTGTCGAACCATCACCAAATGACCGAATATCAGCAGGTTTTACCAATGCTCTACACAAGGGGCAAGTCCGCTCTCGCTCGAACCTAGAAAACAGCATAATAGCAATCAGTCACTTCTCGTTTGTTATTAGATAGGAGGATCACAGGCAAATTTAATGCAAACAAATAAGCATAGATACTACTCAAAACAAGAGAAATTTATGGGCATGTTCTAGTTCCATGACACCTTCACCCAGACAAGCTGCTCACTAGTGGTACGTGGAGCCATATGAAATATTTATACCAGCCGCGACAAGCAGAGCAGCTCAACAGCCGCCGACTAAACATGAGCTGTGATTGTCATTTTCTTTAAAGTCATTTCAATTGGTTCCAGTTGTTTGGTTTGATAGCTAAAGGATCAATATAAAGTTGTTATGATTTTGGTTTGCTGAGGTTCTTCAAAGAAAGATCGACTTGCTGCTCTAGACTACAAAGAAAACAGTGCCATAAATAAAGCAAGAACAAGTTAGTCTAGTCCTTGTTTATCTCTTTCACTCTCAGCTCCAGTGTAGCAAGCCAGGGAGGTGCCGTATCCCGTATCAGATACGTATCCGATATGGATACACGGTCGATACGCGACAGATACGTATCAGCAGAGTATCTGATTTTTTATTAATTTAGCGAATATTGAGCACGTGAGCCAATACGTATCTGCCCATTTGATACGGCCCAGCCCAACAAACACGCGTGCACTCCCGCATCTCCCTCTGTCCCCGACGCCAGCCCCCCGACACCCGCACTACTGCACCTTGCGCCGCCTCCAGCGAACACGCGCGGTGACATCTGGTCCTGCTCGCCGGCCGCCGGCGACGAGCCTCCGCCCCCACTCGCCGGCGACGAGCCTCCGCCCGTGCTCGCCGGCCACTGGCCTCTGGCAACGTCTTTGTCCCCGCAACGTGGATTCAGGCATCCAGCAACCTCCTGTGACTTCATCCCCTTCCCCATTCTCGATCTACTATATTTCTGAAGTTCATGACTTATTGTTGCTTGATTTCGTTGGTCCCCACTTCCTCTCCCTCTGCCCATTCTGGCATTCTCAATCTACTCTATTTTGCTTCTTAATTTCTTGTTGCTTGATTTTCTTTGTATGCAGTGGATGGCATCTCCAAATATGAGTAGATGGCGTCTCCTTTTTCCATTCTTGATCTACTCTGCAGCTTGATGTTGTGGATGAGAGGGAAACAAATGAGGAAATAGGGAGTTGATGCGAGCCTGAATGCCATTTATTAATAGTAAAACATACTAATAGAACTTAAGTACTTAAGTAGTTAAGTAGACTGGAATGTTTTATAGTTATTAGTTTTAATATGCATTATTATCTTTTTTTATTTTAAAATAGTAAAACGTATCCGCATATCCGTATCCTTCCGATACTGATACGTGTATCTGTATCCGTGCTGCATAGGTAGCAAGGCTTGACCTCACTCCTGTCAAGCACCCCTCGCTCCCCCATGAAGCACCTTGTCCTCAGCTAACTCACACATTCCACCCATGACCCAAGTTCATAACAAGTAGCTAGGGTGATAAAGACACTAAACAAGCCAAATATATTTATCTTGCCCGGGTATACTAAAACTTTCTCCATTTTAAACTGTATATATTTCCTGTTGCATCACCAGAAGCAAAGGTCCTCTTGCAAGTAAAGATACTCTAGAGGTTAGACTCTAATGTAGTGGTATAGTCACACATATCTTTTCGTGATGCACTAGTTGTACTTAAATTTAGATTGAATGGCCTTTCTATTTTGAATAATACCCATTCCAAGACTCTAAAGGACAGAAGAATACAGTAAACATATTCAACTAGATGCCTGATTCAAAACAAAGACACAAAGAACAGTGCATATGGAACAGCAAGCAAAGAATGTTACCATTCGGAAACACAGTCTTCACAGAAAATATGTTTACAGCGAAGGAGAACAGGCACATGCATCTTCTCCTGGCAAATGGCACACATATCACCAGCAGCAAGTACCTGCATTAGTCCCAACAATAAGAAAAAACCTAATAACAGAGGATTCTCAAATTCAAACCCTAAAGACTCACGACAAAATCATGGATAACTTATATATTGAGAACTTATGAAATAGTCCTTTTTCAAAAAAAAATGAACAATAATCTAGCAAGCTTTCTCAAGGATACAAGTGATACCACAATAACATTTTTCCATTTGTATACTGTGCAAGTGCCACAACACACTTTTCTGAATACTGGGGCTAATTAACCGAAGTTAACATGTAAATACTACTGTCACAATACACTTAAGGATCTATTTGATTAGCATTATGATTACCTGTTTGGTGAAAAAAATTTCAGACATATTATCATTTGGTATTTCGGTTAGCTGCTTTTTCTAAAACAAGTTGCAAAAGAGACATTATTGGTTTCTGAAGCAACACAAATATGTTTCAAAGACTGGGACGAGGATCACTTAATATTTTGTTCTCGAACACACAGGAGAGCTGTGTATCATTTCATTAAGAGGAAAGAGTAATGGAGAGGAGAATCCCCAACCAAACCCACACCACTTCTTAATATAACCGAAATAACAGATAATGTTGATTTCCAGAGGACCACTTCTTAATATAATGATGTGCAGCTATCTTGGCCCATATTGTGACTAAAGTTATATACGATCTACAAGAAATTCTGTTAACTCTTTCAACAGCTACTCTCCCAACAATAGCTTCAAATATATAAATTGCAGTCCACACCAAACAGGCCCTAAATCTACAAGCCCCTGTAACGGGTGCTGAAAGGTCAGGTTTACACTTGCTCTCTCTCTTTCTGCGAGGCTAATTAGAACACAGGACAACAAATGCCGCAGGCCCACCCTTTGCCCTCAATCTACAAACTATAATAGTAAAAACACTCCTTGAAAGAACAAAAAATCAGTTAAGGACTATAGAGGCTCACAGATGAGGGGGAGCCGAGAGCGACATGAGGGATTGGCAAGGCGGCCGTGATGAGAGGCTCACCGGCAGCAAGTTCCTGGCTGGAGAGTCCCATGAGGGAGCACAGGATGTCACTGAGAAACTGTGGTGCTGACTCACACGATGACTAGGCGGGGCAAGGCTTGCAGGCAGCCTCCCACAGTATAGGCAGAGCTCTGAGAGAAGGACAAGTGGGGCATCCTAGGCCATGGAGTTTGCGGAGCCGGGTAGGACAGAGTAGGGGAGACACCCGGAACCCTGAACCCACGAGTGGAAGGAGGCTACAGGATTTCTGGGGACAGCTGTGGTTCCTCCCCGACTCATATTCGCCCCCACGCAGATCTAGGGTTAGGGGAGGGCCGTGAGAATCTGATGTGGATAAGAAGCAAGCTGGGGAAGGCCAAATCCTTCAATGTGAGCGATTGCTACCCAGTTGGAGGAGATTGGTGGGATTTACAGCCAACGAAGATAAGTTTTGCTAATTCGATTTGGGGGAAAGACCAGAGGAAGAGGTTAGTCAAGGTGGTGAAGGATTCGATGGCTGGAAGAGGAAGAGGTCGCAGACCCAGGACGCACAACCAATATCTGCAGTATCCTTCACCACCACCTCGCCCACGCTTCTTCAATCATCTGCTGCCGCCGCAGTTCAGGTACTTAACTAGCACCAGCTTCGTCCACAACCTCCCATGCCCCGCCACCCCCCCCCCCCCCCAGGTGGCCAGTTCAACAAGCAGTTAAGGCAACCCCCAAGGCCAAGGTCAGACAAGCTCTAGCTCCTGATCAGAAATTGTGGGACAGATCTCATAGAAGAAAGCTCTGGGGTTGCTCGAGATAAGAACATTCAGGTAGTGTGTTACAACTGTGGATAGATTGGTCACTATAGCTCAGCGTGCAACAGTCCCAGAATCTGTCATCAGGCATTGTCCTGAATCGGTGAAACCTCCAACTGCTGCACAATACTATTTTTTTTCTCGAAAACGCAGGAGAGCTGCACATCATTATATTAAGCAGAAAGAAAGGGGCTAGAGCCCTACAACACACGCCACACACAACCCCACAAAACTCAGCAATTACAGTCGCGCCTGAAAAAAAGAAAAAGTGGTGACCAAAAAAACTAGCACTAAGCTAACCACTAAGGAGAGGGGCTGTCAAAAGAGGACAGACCCTTAGCTCCTGTTAGACTCCACAACCGGCGCTCTTCTCCAGCAAGGGTATGAACACCACTATGGTAGTGCTAACAGAGGGCTAGGTTTTTACCATGTTGATGTGTAGCCAAGAGAGGACAGGTTCAAGCACTGCAATGGTATGGATAACTAAGGGGGTATTCACTATAGAGGAAGGGGATATTGATGAGGAGGGAATTTTAGAGAATCTGAGAGAGCTCTTTGAGAAGGATTACATAATCAGATTCCCACAACATGAGAAAATGGAAAACATTGTGGTAGGGAAGGCCTCTCTCTCTTTTACCTGAAATAGAGTTCGAGGAAATCTGATGACTACAGCTACATAATCAAATTCCCACATGAGAAAGTGGAAATCGTTGTGGTAGGTTAGGCCCTCTCTTTTACCTGAATAGAGATAGTATTCTAGCCTTTCTGAAAGTGTGGAATGCAGATGTGGAACCAGTGGGAAGCCTGGTAGATGTCTGGGTTCAAATTAAGGGGATGCCTCCAAAATGGGTTGACTGGGTGTCAATTAAAGAAATGGCTTCTAGCTTGGGCTTGATGGTAGAAGTGGACTGGCAGACTCTTTTAAAAAGAATCCCAAAGGAGAGAATCTTTCTTCAAAAAGAAGCTATACCTGATCTCCTTCAAAGCTAAAGGGGAACTCCCTCCGTCCCTTTTTAAGTGTCTCTATGATATTCGTGCCAGTCAAACTTTCTTAAGTTGGATTAGGTTTGTAGAAAATATTAGCAACATTTGTATCTCCAAATAAGTTTATTATGAAAATAGATTCAACGATCTATCTAATAATACTAATTATGTACCATAAATATTAATATTTTATTGTATATATATTTGGTCCAAGTTGAGCTCGGAAAGTGAGAACGACGGTTAAAAAGGGATGGAAAGAGTAGAGCAGAAAGATGACTCTTCAAATGATGACTTGTGTAAATGTGTAGGTGAAGAAGGGCTAGAAGAGGATGACTTACTTGGAGAAGATTTGAATGGTAAATCTACAGGTAAAGAGGACAGGAAGGAGAACAAGGAAACTGGACAATTAGAGAAGAAAATACCCCAGCTGGAAGCAAGACCGTGAGGTTGCTGATCTTTGAAGAGGAGGGTCAGTTCGAGCAGGCAGAAACCAAACAGTGTGTCAACTAAAGGCAGAAACCAAACAGCTACCTGAGGAATGGATCTATGAGCTTCAACACAAAAAGTCAGTACAAGATATTAGTGTGCAGGGACAATATCAAGAATCACCCCAGATTCCCATCATAGAAAAGCAAGATGAGCAGTCCCGGATAGAGAAGAAGATAACAGCTCAGCCACTCAACCTACAATGGAGGATCTGGAGAAACATGATCAGATAGAGAACAAAGTGAGGGGGAAAAGGTAAAGGAACATCACAAAAATGAGGCTCAATTCTACCAATGAGGAGTAAAAGGAACATTGATAATGGCAAGACTATGATGGAAAAAGCTCAAGATTTCAAGAGGAAATGGAATATGTAAGAGATTAAAGGTATAACCATTCAGTATTCTAGTTTTGTTTCTAAAGAATATGTACTTTCTGTTGCCAAGGATCTTGGCATTGAGGTGAGGGATGGAAATTCATTCTCAATTGATAGTTGATAGAATGCTTGAACTTGACAATAATAGAGATTCAGCTTGTGATTTAGCTTGCCAACATATAGACTGTAGTAAAACTTTAGATCCTGGCATGGACCTGAAGAACTTAGAAAAGGAACAGGGCGACAAGGATAAGGCACCTAGTACTCCTATTATTAGTGGGAAAACGTCTGAAGTCATGGAATACTTGACTGGTTGGCCTAAGGTGTTGCCCCTCGATCTCCCTGCACAGGTGAGCAGCTAGCTCACCAACATCCTCACACACAACAACAGCTAGAGGTAGAAGAACACACACAGACTGAAAGTCTGAAACTCTGAATATGTGCAGCAATTGAACTACGTTTTCCATTGCTATTGGTAGAGTATATATACAACTCCTGTACCAAGGTACACAAGAGTATGGCTGATCTCAGCCCGAACTACTCCCTACATGGCTGATGTATGCCACTACTAAGTTGGCCTATTGCCATACTTCTACGACAGCAAGAGCTGACCAAAGGTCTAACCCCTGCTGCAGCAAAACAAAGAGGGAGAGCAGCAGATTATCTCACATAAGGTTGGTCCTACGAAAAAATATAGAGAAAGAAGGAAATGGTAGGGCCGTTATGGAATATTATTGTGTGTTTGGATTGGAGGTTGGTGTGGGTTGGGTTGGGTTGGGTTGGGTTGGACCCAGTTTTCATAGTGTTTGGTTACAGATTGACATGGGTTGGGTCTGTCCCAACAAGGAATATTCCGTGTTGATTCGGGTTGGTTTGATTTCTCCAAATCAAGGGGATGGGGACAACCCACTTCCTTCTCGCACGTGAACAGACGGCGCGGGTGGCCCAGCAGCGATGCAGGCGAGTAGCCGGCGCGTAGCGAGCCAGCGGCCACGGCTGTGGTGTAGAGGAGCAAGGTCCGTCGCAGCGGCAGCGGAGCGGACGAGCACTCGCCGTGACCGCGTGCACGAGTCGACTGCCGCGGCAGCGGCACGAGCAAGCAGGGGCTGTGGCAGCAGCACAGGTGGCAGCGGCGGCGTGGCCTAAAGAGCAGCACGGGCGCATGCATGGAGCAGCAGGTGAGGCGTGCGGGTGAGCCATGGCCAGGCGGAGGAGCCACAGGGCGGGTCGGACCGTCGGGGCAATACGGAGCAGCAGATCTGGGCGGCTACTGGTGAGCGAGCTGCGGCCATGGAGGAGCAACTGCGGGCAAGCAGTTTGCGGCCGTGCGAGGAAGGCGCACGTGCGCAGGAGACGCAAGAATGGACCCCACATGTCAATGACTCAACCCACTTCCAGATATTCTTCCAACCAAACGTAAAACTGGAATGGACCAAACCTTTTCAACCAAACAAGAGATGGCTTCAACCCAACCCGCAAAACTGGGATAGGTTCAACCCATCACACATCGTCCCCAAACCAAACACACGCTAAGAGGCTAAAGGTTCAGCAGGTGGAATTTTGATAGGTGCAAATACAGACATTTTTTTAGTCTATGTGATATTATGAATTTTTCAGGCAGTGTCATGCTTTCCAATAAAAGCAATGGTGCTTTCCAATAAAAGCAATGGCTTCGCATGGAAATTAGTAGTAGTGTATGGTCCCCCTCCCCCCTATGAGGATAAGAAGCAAGGCTTTCTTGATGAGTCAGAGGGATCGTGGCAAGGTCCCATACTTATTCGAGGAGATTTTAATCTTGTTACATCAGCCTTCTAAAAGGCGTTATTAATCGTACGCCTAGGCACGCTTAAGCTTGAATCACAGCCATAGGGTGTCATTTAGGCCCTAGGTGCCCAATTAAATGTGGGGTGCTGGCAAGCAGACGGTTGCGAGTGCAGAGGTGGCCAGGAGCATGGCAGGAGAACGAGAACAAAGATTACAAAGCACAGGTTGTAGATAAAGAGCTGGCAACAAGGTTTACCGGATGCAATCGATCATCCTTGCATCGTCACCGTCTACGAGAGGGGCCAGATCTTCCTCAGGCTGCTGCACTCAAGCTCCTCATGCATGCTCTCATTGTCATACCTATGCCTCGTCACATCGCCGCTTGCGCAATCCTACCCGACACCCCCACAGGCAGAGGAAGAATCGATGAGATCGAGAAGATACGAGGATACGAGAAAGAGGACCAGCAGTGTGTGGTGGCTGCTCGTGAAGTTCTAGGAGTAGGGCAAGGGCTGGATGGGCCAGTAATTGCAGCCCATGTTGTGGAAATCATGACGGGAGAGGCCAGATGAGCCTTTCATTGTATGATAGTGGAATGAGTGGTGTGGGAATGGATCAAGTATTCTTTTTTATTATTACTTTGCTGATGTATAATGTGTAATGTTTAAGCATGATTAATCTACGATTAAGCATCCTGGGCGCTAGGCGTTGGCCCAACACCTGCCCAGAGCCTAGCGTTTTTTCAGAACCTTGTGTTACATTCACAAGAGACAAAAGGAATGGTATTAGAAACCACAAATGGGCTGCTCTTTTTAATGGATGGATAAGTAAATGGACTTTGATAGAGCTCAACCCCACAAATATGGCCCAACGCCTAGCATTTTTTGGAACCTTATGTTACATTCACAAGAGACAAAAGCAATGGTATTACAAACCGCAAATGGGCTGATCTTAACGGGTCAATAAGTAAATGGGCTTTGATAGAGCTCAACCCCACAAATAAAAAGTTTGCCTCAGGATAATTTTATCATGGCTAAGATAGACAAAATGTTTGTCCACTTCTTGGGATGTTGCCTATTGACAACCAAAAATGTCCATTTTGTAAAGTTGTCAAAATGTAGAATGGACTTCACTATTGCGTTCCTCTCGTCGAGATGGTAAAAAAACATATATGGAACATCCAATTTGGAGTCCGGATAAAGCTGTACATTTGTTGGCTTTATGGAAGATTAAGATCCCACCTTAGAGTGCAATTATTTCTCTGGTAAATCTCTAATAATAAGTTCTGACTAGAGACGAGCTAGCAAAAAGAAGAGAAGTTGAGGATAGTAGTTGTTTAGTTTGTTCTGAGGTTGAATATATGCAGCATGTCTTTTTTGATTGTGCTATAGCAAAGCAGTGTTGGAGTATGATCTCTGATATTGTTAAGTGAAAGTAGGAGACAACCTGGTAGAGATAGGGAAATTTTGGCTTGTTAGAAGTAATCCTTGTGTTTAAGGCTTATATAGCTAAGTACTAGTACTCTAGTAGTATATGGTCTTTTAGCTGGCTGCTGACATATAGGTCGGTTTACACCATATTCTAAGAATATTATTCTTAGACAGGAAGTCTAGCTGCTGCCTTCGACAGCAGGTATAAGTAGTCAATTTTGTTTTTACTTGTGCACAACAGCAACATATGTATAGTCGGTTGTTTTGCTTACTCCCTCCATCCAAAAAAAAACGCAATCTAAGAGTTCAAAATTTGTACCAGAAAAAATGCACATGTAGGTACCAGGGCTAGGTAACCTAGGGTCGGACCCAAACCAAAGGCCACCTGCCAGGTTGCCACCTCACTTGTTTTTCTAATCTACCGCACTAGAGAGTTCTAGACATGGAGAGCTCTTTGTCATTTAGTATAGGGGCATTTCTGTCATTTCTCCACCACGTTGGCTTCCGTGCCCGGTCCTACAATTGTGTTTTTTTTTTGGACGGAGTAGGCAGTACAAGTAGTGCAGCTGTCCTGACAGCCTGCAGTAGTAGTTAATTTGACTTTGTACAGCTGTTATACAACTGTTAGGAATGGCAGGTCGGTTTGTAAACCAACTTAGGTACTGCTATATATATGTATGCATATTCAATATGAATGACAAGCTAGTTTGCTTTATAGAAACTGTCTTCTAAACTCCAGCTACTCTATTCACCTCTGCTCATCCTATAGGCTATAGCTGCTGCACTTCTAACATGGCTTAGCCTTAAAAAGCATGGTCCTCTTAATGTTGTTACTTCTGTACTTCTGTGAAGTATTTGAAAACTCAGAAATGAGATTTGTTTTCAGAAAACAGGCTGGAAAAGCATGGAGATGCTGCTGTTCAGTATAGCTGGGCTTCTCCAGAATTGGATAATTCTGTGCCCACCAGAAAAGAAACAGCTGTTGAAACTCATTTTGGAGGAGATCAAGTCTTCAGCAAGAAGGGTCTTGTGGCTGCACAACTGAAGTTTCAGGGGTACCCGCAGACGATTTCTCAGTTCTGGGCAGATTGGGAAGATTAGAACATGTTTGCAATCAAAGATGAAGTCGCTGGAGAGAAGTGGTTACCTTCTTCAGAGCTTTGGTGAAAAGATTTTTAAAATAGTATGGAGTTGATGTAATGTTCTTTAGTTTTCAGAAACTTTGAGTGGTGAGCTGGTTTCCCTTTTTAGCTTCTGTTTCAGGATGAGATATCATCCAGTACGCTGTAATGGATTTGTCTTTCCACTTTAGTTGAAAGACTGGGGCATGAGCCCTAAAACTCTAAAAAAACAGTTAACAGTTTAAATAATATCACTTTGGGCTGCCTAATACCTTGTTACCAGTTATTAGAAAGAACAGGCTAGTGACATGACCAGCCAAAGATCTCTTTTACCTGTTCTGCAGTCGCATAAGACCCATAATGCACATCTTTACGTGAAAGTGCTTTCACCGCGGCCAAGAATGACTGAACCTGGAAGCCACAATGTCAAGAACAAGAAGTATGCTTTCAAGCAATTGATTTATAAATGGGGTGCGGCAAACAGTGGTACCTTCTCGACAACTGAAGTCAACTTGAAAGTCAGATACAGCCCAGTGGTTAAAGATGAGAAGAGACTCCCATATTCCTTGTTCAGAAAGAAACGGTACCAAACAGGAGTTGGCAACAAAGCACGATAAAGAAGCAGAAGGTACTCCACGAGGGTTAACATTTGGCCCTAAAAAGGAAGAATTGTAGACATGTTACTGTAACATTATGCAATACTAATCAGTTGTTCTAACAGATGGAAAAATTCTGCTCACATGTTACTGTAAAATAATTTTCTTATGGTGGTAAGGTAAGGTGAGGCGTGGTGGCCTGTCCCGTTCCAAGTGCCTATAGCAACCTAGAAACAGCAGGGAGAGGAGGAAAGGAAAAGGACAAAGGAGAAGGGACTGGGCCAGACAAGCCACCAGTCAACCTAGGTCTGCCACAGTGCCTTTTCATCAAGGCGACACTTAGGAAGGTACAGTACAACACGGGCAGTGGTAAACGTTGGCCTTGTGAAAAAGTTGAAGACAGATGAGTAGAGGACACTAGCCTCTCAACAAAGGCAGCATGTCTTGCATTTACTCCTGGTCCCACCACTCCTTCCTTGGTAGCTGCCATGACTGGACATGATCCTGAGCACACAACGTCACGCTAGAGTCTCCTTCGCCCACAAAGCGCACTCCAGTTGCTGCTTCCGCTTCCTGTTTTGGTGAAACCTATGCTACTTCTGCAGGTACCGCTTTGCGGTGACATGGATGATCGGTGCAGACGTGTGGAAGGTTGAGGCAGTATCGTTGGATATTCGCAACATATGATACAAATTGAAATTTATTACCATTGAAGCTGAGTTAAATGTTTGAAAATATTGTTAGAAATGTGTCTGGTGTACATGTTTGTTAATGTTGTCCAGCTACTACACACTCTAATTTAGTAGAAGGGTGTCAATTATATTTGAGGAAACAAAGCCAGTCCCATCATGTTTTTTAGCTTCCCTTAAAATTTCAAAATAAGCCCTTACTAACTATACACCAGAATCTGCCTTTTGGCCACACCATGGACTATAGTTGTCTGGTTGGTAGGTTCAGATTTGGACATGTTTGGGAGTTTGTTTTAAAAGTTTTTTTGTTTAAAAAATATTCTTTAGAAAAGCTACAGTTGCAGACATATAGCTCAAACAATATAATCCAGTGTAGGAGCAAAAGATGAGGTAACATAGGTATTGACATGTGTGTAAATACGCAACAATGGCAGCAACAGTTTCTGGACATTTTAACTGGTTTCCACAGTCCTTACAAAGTTCACATACCCTTGCAAGTATAACAATCACTTAGTCATGAAGAGTCATTATTAGAAGCACCACTTTTAACACATACAATTTGTGGAAGTTATGTTTATACATTAACCAATAGCAGACATGATTTAAGAACTATGAACATGAGAAAACCAAAAATGATCCACAACAAAGCATAAGAATTTGAAAAATATGTCACCTGTCTACGGTAGTTACGACCTCGGCAGTTCTTGTAGTAGAGAAGTATCATGCACTTGACAGCCATTGCAGCTTGGCGGACCATTGTATCTGGAAGTAACACATGGTTATACATCAAACGTGCATAGCTATATCAGCTATAGCCCAAAAAATTCAAATATTTTTGTTTATTTCTAAAAGAATCTTTTCTTAAAAAAATAAATGACAATGAATTGCACTAGGCTCAAGGGAACACAATATCCCAATCAGTTTATGTCATTCAAGCTTTACTTCTTTTCTTGTATGGCTCCATGTTGAAATTATATTAACTCAGGATCAGATGTTGTGATTTCGTTTAAGGAAACTTCATGAATTTGCAAGATTCTACATTGACTCAGTGGAAAAAGTTGATGACAAGAAAAAAAGTCTGTGTGAAAGAGGTAAAATAGTAGTCTCTCTGTTGTACCTTATAAAATCTTTTTTTCCCCTCAAACACATACCTTATAAAATCAAACAGTATGGTTAATGAACGAAGAACAAAAAAAATCAATTACGCTAGAGCATATCAACACTTGGGGAAGTAAAATGTATGAAAGTTCATTTGCAGTTTCAGCAGTCAATAAAATGTGTTCAATATAACCAAATATTTCAGTACATCAATATATAATCTATAGTAAACTAGAGAAAGCCAACTGTATATAGCTTAAAGAATATTTAGCTGTAATACAATTGAGAAACTATATGGCCAAATTCAAATTAGTAATACCATTGACCATGATGACAAAAATCGCATGCCAGAATGGTGGTATATCTTTTGGAGGAAGCATGAACAAAGGTCTGAGAAGATCATCATTCCTGTACCACCAATATACGCCAAACACATGAATCATGAAGATTACTGTAATACCAATGAGTACAGATATTTTTCTTTCGCCCTGTAAAAGCAAGCACGAGTTGGAAATATTAAGATACTAGTAATAACCAGCTATTACATTATCAAATAGATTAATTTAACACAAGCATGGCAAGTACATTGAGCAACGTGGTACTAGCTGGTACAGTGGTAAAACATAACTCAAGATCAA